AGGTTAGCATCTGGAGTCCTGTGTGACAAGAGAGTGCCACCGATACTCAAAGGTAAGTTTTATAAAGCGGTGGTTAGACCGGCCATGATGTATGGGGCTGAGTGTTGGCCCGTTAAGAACTCACATATCCAGAAGATGAAAGTAGCAGAAATGAGGATGTTGCGGTGGATGTGCGGGCACACTAGGATAGATAAGATTAGGAATGATGATATTCGGGAGAAGGTGCATGTGGCTCCCATCGATGACAAGATGCGGGAAGCGAGGCTTAGATGGTTCAAACATGTTCAGAGGAGAAGCCCAGATGCTCCGGTGACAGAGGTGTGAGCAACTGGTTACGGAGGGCACGAGAAGAGGTAGAAGGCGACCTAAAAAGTATTGGAAGAGGTGATCAGGCAGGATATGTCGAGGCTCCAGATTTCCGAGGACATGACACTTGATAGGAAGATGTGGAGGTCGAGTATTAGGGTTGTAGGTTAGGAGGTAGTTGAGTCGTGCCTTACTTCGTAACATGGTAGGACTATCCATGTAGGGTTTTTGTCTAAGATAACTAGTGGGAATGTTGTGGCTTACTAGTTCGCTTTTTAGTGCAGGTCCTATTTACTAGCTATCGTTTTTGCTTTATATCTTTCTTCTAGATTTCATGGTGTTCCTATTTTTCTTATGACTGTTGTGGTGATACTAATATTGTCTCCTTTTACTTTGCATCTTTCTTCTGGATTCCATGGTGTTCCTATTTATCCTATGATTGTTGTTGTGATACTAATATTGTCTCCCTTTTTGCCCTTTTGTCTTTTTATTTTTTTGGGCCGAGGTTCTTTCGGAAACAGCCTCTCTACTCCTTCGGGGTAGGGGTAAGGTCTGCGTACACACTACCCTCCCAAGACCCCATTAGTGGGATTTTACTGGGTTGTTGTTGTTAAGTCTGCACATCCATGTATCTTGTTTTACCTGTTGAATAATCTGAATAAGGCAACAAGTTGTTAATCATAACTTCTCACTCTCATTCTATCTTGTTGTGCTCTGGTTGGCAGTATAAGATGGAAGACATTGTTGAGTTTCAATTGTCGAAACCGTTTGCTTCTGACTGGTACTCCAGTTCAAAATAACATGGCTGAGCTCTGGGCGCTCCTCCACTTTATTATGCCTACTTTATTTGATAGCCACGAACAATTCAACGAATGGTTTTCAAAAGGGTATGTATGTTTCAGTGTAAGGTGTTTCTTGCTTTAATGTATCAGTTGTCCATCCTGGTGATAATTCGTTGTGCTTTCTGATCAGAATTGAGAACCACGCAGAGCATGGTGGGACGTTGAACGAGCACCAGCTCAGCCGACTGGTGAGGGATCTTTGCTTTGTAGTTGTTTATGACAATCCAATATCCTAAGATACAGCTGCCTTATGACCTACAACAATTCAATTTCTTTCTGAGGAATATTTCCTATCATTTTGACTTAACTAAAAATAGACATGTAGTACACATTGTCATTGTTTATATTTTAGTTTGTCAAGAACACTCCATGAACTCTTTTATAAGTTTCTTCTATTTGCATATTCTCATCTTGTATATTTCTGGTGTCAGGAACACTCACTCTAGTATTTAGTTAGAAACATCCTTGTTATGTGGTTATTGTTGCTATTCATGGATGTCAATCTTATCTGGAATTTTTTGGATGGTAATTCATCAAATCCTGTAATAATATCTCCATCTTTATTCTCTCTGTTAGTCTGAATATTATTAGTATATCATCTTAGGTAAAGTCTAATATCTCCTTAGGTAACTAGACTTTCCATTTTGATGGATTTCTCTTTTCTGAATCTTCTGAACAGCATGCCATTTTAAAACCCTTCATGCTCCGACGGGTTAAAAAGGATGTGGTTTCTGAGTTGACTGGGAAAACTGAAATCACAGTGCACTGTAAGTTGAGTTCTCGTCAGCAGGCATTTTATCGAGCAATAAGAGACAAGATATCCCTTGCTGAGTTGTTTGATAGCAGCCGTGGGCATCTCAATGAGAAGAAAATTCTAAACCTGATGAATATTGTTATCCAGCTAAGGAAGGTGATTGATCTCTTTCTTTACTGCTCTTTCGTGTTGCATCACCTGATAATTTTATGGGGGACCTTCCATACTAGTTTTATTTTTTCCATAGTTTTTTTTCACCAAGTGCTTTTATTTCTCTTGTTGGAAAATGCCAGGTGTGCAACCATCCAGAGCTGTTTGAGAGAAATGAAGGAACTTCTTACTTCTATTTTGGAGAGGTTCCAAACTCACTTCTACCTCCTCCCTTCGGGGAACTGGAGGATGTATTCTATTCTGGCGGTCGAAGTGCTGTTACATACCAGGTACTCCTTAGATCTCTTTATGCTTCTTGTTTGGTATTATTATTGTTTATAATGTACACAGAAAACTGCCTGATTCAATGCAGTCATTTAATGGCATAGTGCATAGACAGCCCCTTGAACTTGTCAAAAATTTTGATTAGACACCTCAAGTGTGACCCTATTGAACACTTAACCTATGTGCAAAATGTACCTATCGAACACAATACTAACAGTCTCCAGGCACGTGAAACTCAAACGTAGATGACATGGAAATTAAACAAATAAGACTGACAAGTGGAATTGAGACCAAATAATAATCCAAAAAAGGGGAACTATCCTAGCTGGATTGTTTACCCCAATAAAAAACCTTTCAGATTGCTACAACCTCCCCCCTGTCCTTCATCCACCATCATGCCGACACTACGGTTCCTACTTCACCATCGGTCTACCACCTGGAACCTCACTCCGGCGGTATCAACATGTTGAGAGAGCTGCTTGGAACACAATATTTTCTGCAGATAATTTGATAAGACATATCAGCTGGTGTTTTTTATGTGAAGGAGTGGTGAAGATGGTTAATCATTACTCATTTCACTATAACGTAGCAACACAGCTATGGACTTTTTGAGATTCTCTTTGGTGCTAACAATACAATGTCTAGGACTGTTGTTTAACTCTTCAATGCTGGAAGTAGAAGGGCAGAGGTTAAAATGTAATCCCATAGGCTGTTATGCGGACAATGTGGAGAGAACCAAATCGAAGGCCATGTGATGGAATACGAAATTACTTGATCAGATTTATGCTATTGTGCTTTTTGTACACTTCTGGATTACACTAGAGATAATGCATAGGTGGCTGGTTGGATTATGTAGATTGGAGCGTCAGTCTACAGCTCTATTTACCTCTTTTCTACTCCCTATTCGCTTACTGTCAATAAAAATTACTTATCTACAGAAAATAGAAGATTATGTAGAAACTATCATAAAAGAACGCGAAGAACAAGTTATTGTTTACTCTGGAGCTCAATTTTACTAGAACATGTCAAGTAAATCCAATTTTATGAATTGAATCAACTAGAGCCAGTTCAGCAAGATGATTCTTGCTGATATTCCTGAATATATGCATGTGGAAACTGTGAAATGTTGGCTAAGTAGGACTTCTTAATACTCAGGAAATTTTATGCGTATTGAACTTACTCTTCTCATAAATCCCTTTCAGATTCCAAAGTTGGTATACCGGGAAGCTCTCAGATCGAGCATGCTTCACTCAACTCTGGCCCAAGGTGTAAGAAAAGAATTATTTGATAAGTACTTTAACATATATTCTCCGGAGAATATTCACCGCTCGATCCTGCAAGAAGTACACAAGTCAGATGTTGGCTATATACGGAGCGGAACATTTGGTTTTACTCGGTTGATTGATATGTCACCTATGGAGGTTTCATTTTCGGCAACTGGTTCTTTTTTGGAAAAATTGTTATTCTCAATTGTGAGAAGCAAGCGACAGTTTTCAGATGAAATTTTGGACTTGCTGATGGAGTCTAAGGATGATGATCTCTATTTTAGGCACCTTGGGCGGGACAAAGTAAGAGCGGTGACGCGAATGTTATTGCTTCCATCTAAGACAGGAACAGATTTATTAAGAACAAGACTTGCCACAGGTCCTGGTGATGCACCATTTGAAGCTTTGGTCATGGAACATCAGGATAGGCTTTTATCTAATGTTAATCTCTTACATTCCATATACTCCTTCATTCCTAGAACAAGAGCACCCCCTGTAAGTGGTAGTACATTGTTGCTCTTACTTTGTGCTCTCCATGCATAAGCAAATGGTTACTAACTACCAGATTTATTTTGTAGATAAATGCTCATTGCTCGGATAGAAATTTTGCTTACAAAATGCTCGAGGAACTACACCATCCATGGATTAAGAGGTTGTTGGTTGGGTTTGCACGCACATCGGAATATAATGGTCCTAGGAAGCCAGGTGTCACACACCATTTAATACAAGAGATAGACTCTGAATTACCTGTCTCACAACCTGCTCTTCAGCTTACATACAAAATATTTGGATCATGTCCACCCGTGCAACCATTTGACCCTGCAAAGATGCTAACAGTATGTTATCTTTTCCATTGATGTATTCCTTCTCTTTTCCTTTCCTCTTTAATACATCTATGTGCCTTTAAGCACATACAATATCTAAATGTCCTATGTAATTACAGGACTCAGGGAAGCTTCAAACACTTGACATATTATTAAAGCGCTTGCGGGCAGGGAATCACCGTGTTCTTCTCTTTGCACAAATGACAAAAATGTTGGATATTATAGAGGTATTTGAATCTTTCTGCTGCTCCTTGGTGGTTTAGATTTGTCTTTTTGTAATGCTATGATGCTAGTAGCAGTGGCAGTTTCTCTGCCTATGCAACTGTATGTTTGTATTTGGTTTTAGCTTTGGAGAGTTGAAAAGAGACTGAGGGAAAGCAAGTTTACTGGTAGTCTCAGCCATGCTTTGGTTCACTAACCATAGCTGGTGTAAATGCAAAATGCAGCTTGCGTGTAAAACTTTTGTGAAGCTATCAAATTGATCGAGGGTCTTTCGGAAACAGCCTCTCTACTCCTTCGGGGTAGGGGTAAGGTCTGCGTACACACTACCCTCCCCAGACCCCATTAGTGGGATTTTACTGGGTTATTGTTGTTGTTGTTATCAAAATGATCGAAAATAACCATGTGTTGCTAAATTAAGCACTGCTATAATGTTTGTCATGTAGTACCTTTTCCCGTGTTTTGGTTATAGTACAGGTTCTCTTCCCCCATCAATGCGTGGGAGAGGTTTGTAGCTCATCTTGGAATAACTGTTTGATAACAGATACTTACCCGCCTATGCATAAACAATGAGTTCTGAGTGTCGCTTTCTTTTGACGTCCTAACTCCTACCAAGCTTAGGTTAGATTGAATCATGGAGTAGTTTCTTGAGCATACTATGTGAAGCTAAGCATACAACAATAATAACAACATTACCAACTATGCTTTATGCTTCATAGTTCTTACTGTATGAAGCTAAGCCTTAAAGAAGAAGTTATACGAAGCTGTTGTTGAGACTCTTGTATTGGTTTCTCTATTTGCTTCATTCATCTTATAATGGACTCAGTTTTGCGAAGACCAGAGTAAGTTTTCTACTGCAACATAACCCCCATGACTAGGAAAGTTTTCATTTGTAATGGATCTAAAATTGCAAGGATAAAGAAACTCTTCACTTGTGAGATTGCTAATATTTTCACTTGTTTTGCAGGACTACATGCACTACAGGAAATATAAGTACTTGAGGCTTGATGGATCTTCCAC